AACTGGAGTCTGGGAAAATCTCTGGCATTAACCCGACTTATTCTGTTTTCACCAAACAGCCTGAAATAGGAAAATTGTCATTCAAAAATGATATTAAACAAAAAACCAACTCTTAAAAGACCACATCATTCTCTCTTCGGTCCAACACTCACATGAATGCTGTGGTTTCTGGGTAATGACCTGGTAAAGAAACCAAAGAGTCACTCTCTACCAACACCATGACGTCACTTCCGGGTAATTTCGCGCAAGTGCAGCCTCGAGGACAATCTAATAGGAATGTCAATAAATCATGTTATTTAGTGGATGCGATAAGGAGATTAAAGTTCTACTAGATATTTGTCCTTACCTTCAATGCAAAAGGTCCTTTTTCCTGAGAAATAGGGAAGAATAAGCATTATTTTAGAGTCATTGAGATAAATGCCTTGCATAACTAAACCAAAGCAGCAAGTGTTTGCAAACTTTACTTTGTGGTTTTGATCATGCACTGCCAGGGACAATTTTCAAAAGTTTTAGTTACACTTTGAAATATAAAGAAAGGAACTTTTATTGTACTTCAGTACCTATTTTGGAAGTGATGGAATGAAAATTGCATGGTTTCTGGAGCCTGCCTCTCCTTTAATTTTCAATGACGCGATAAATCTCAAAGCGAAGAAGAGAAAGCTTAGAAAGACCATTGCGGCTGAAAAGAGATAAAAATAAAAATATGTCAAGAAGTATGGAGCAGGTCTTACCTGGTTTAGTAGTGTAGTTCGGTTTGAATCCTGTATAAATGCCAGCTTCATTTGCTCTAAATATTATTGTTAATGTGTTTGAAGATGATTCTATCACTAGTGGGTATGTATGGCCACAGTATCTTCCTATGTTTCGTGACACGTGATTTCCACCGTCTCGAACTTCTACGTAGTCATTAGCACACGTGGGGTGAGGCTCAACTGCAAATGACTGAAAATGGAGACGTATGATGTGATTTTCCTCAGCGATCACGTGCCAGCTGCATGTTACGTTGTTTGGGTAATATCCTGGATATAGCGGTGAAACGATGAATCCGAGGCTACTTGTTAGAGTTTGTCTGCAAGCTTAAGTGAATACAATGATAGTAATGATATTGGCATTAATAAGGGTAATAATAATGATAATACTAAAAATGATGATTATGATTATGAAAGTAATAATAATAGTAATGATGGTAAAGATAATACTAATTATTACAAAAAGCCTATATACAAAGCTTGATGGGTTTTTTCTTTTACAATTTCTGCTAAAGTAAGTCAAGAGTAATAAACCAGTTGTGCCATTTCAGGAAGCTTTATTATTTTCCCTTCAGATATAAACCAGCTTTTTTTAGGATGCGTAAACCCTTTAAAGTGGGCTAATGGTATTCCTCACGTGTATCGATTAGTGACAAGATGGACTGAATGAGTTTTTATTCAGAAGTTTTCTCAGGCCCTCGTGGATTGGATATCTGTTTACGCTGACCGTACAGAGAAAGAGGAAAGTGGCGCCAGTCGCTGAAACCTTCCATAAAAACGTTTCGTAATTCCATTCTGATTCTAATTTCTTGATTAATTGTTAATCCTGTACCTTTCTGAGCAGTTGACGGTTGAGGCGAGCAGTACGTCTCGTGTGACATCACAACACCTCCAAAGGCTAAGTAACCTGGCTTTCCTTCCAGCTCACCGACAATGCTCAACTGTTTGTACATGACAGAAAAAAATAAAAACCTTTCGTTTTGTTACCATTCGATTCGCAAGTTCTAGCCATCAGTGTAGAAGGAAATGATGTCCGATTAAGATTGCTAGTTCTAATGAAGAACCTTAAGTAATTGAAAAAATTATTAATCAAATTTCGTGATAATATTTGGTCGAGCTGGTGGGTTCCAGTAGTAAAAGATGGGGAATGATGCTACGCATGAAATAGTTAACAACTGGGGCAGAAAAGTTGCTTTCATCTAAGAATTATTGCTCCCATAATAAGCTAGATAAAATGAAAGGGTAAAAAAAAGGTGAAATGAGTGAAATAGCTACACAAGGAACTATAAAATGAGGTGCAAAATTGGCTTTCATTTTAAGAGTCATTATACTTTTAAAGTTCTCTTTAGCGGCGAAATTAAAGGGACTAGAATCGCGAGCCCAAGCGGTCGAGTGATCTGAAATTAAGAATGAATGCTGACAGAAATAGATTTTTGACCATTTTCTAA